CTATATCTTCTTTACGTTATGATGAGTTTTCCATGTATGTACAGTTTTGACCTTCTTCGGGTCGACATGAACTCCTTAAGCACTCACCATGTGTCCTAAGAATTGGATATTCTTGAGGACGAATTCGCTCTTGGATAGTTTGACCGAGAGGCATTCCCGTCGAAGAATTTCGAAGACGCGACGTGGGTGTTTGACGTGCTGCTTCATATCGTGCGAGTATATGAGAATATTGTCCAGGTACACCACCACGTACTTGTTCAGTAATGGGCATGAAATATGGTTCATTTTGGCTTGGAAGGTTAGTGGTGCGTTGGTGAGTCCGAACGGCATTACCAGATACTCGTACGACCTGTGGAGAGTTTGGAAGGCGGTTTTCTGGATTGAGTTGTCCACCATTTGTATCTGCCAGTATCCAGACCGCAAACCTAATTTGGAGAATACCGTAGCTCCCTGATGCTGGTCAAACATGTCATTTATCCGTGGAATAGGGAATTGATTTTTCTTGGTCTGCTTGTCGAGAGCTTGGTAGTCGATGCACATGCGCAGGCTTCCGTCCGGTTTAGGTGTGAAGAGTACTTGAGCATCGTACGGTGAGGTGGAAGGTTGGATAAGTCCTTTTTTAGGAGGTGCTTAATTTGTTTTTCATATCGGCTAGCTCTATAGGGCTGAGTCGATATGGTGCTCTGAATGTCGATTTCAAACCTGGTTCATCCACGATCTCGTGTTGATGCTGTTGATAGGATCGGCCTACTTTGCACGAATTAAGCAGAACCTCAACTCAACCAAACGCCAATCTTTTCGGTGGAAGGATGCGCCTATAAGTCTAGAGTCATCTGAAATTTAAATCAGGTGAAAAGATTAACTCTAGAGTGAGAACTGAATCAAAACGTAACTGCTGGTCGTTGCCTTGGAAAAGTAGATAGAACTTGCAAGACACACAACCATATAGACATGGTTCGGGGTTCAGACCTATAAGAGGGCCCTGGAAGGGAAACAAGGTTTCCTGATTTCTAGGAATGGTTTAGAACCTTCCTAGAAGCACACCATAGGCCCCTCTCCAAGTTTCCCATGTGAGAACACATGCCAAATCCAAAGAGATTGGATTTGGCAAGATGTTGCAACATTTGCAACACTTGCACATTTTGGCTTGTAGCAACCAAGCCACCCCAACCAAAAGTCAAAGTTTTCTCCCCAACCATCTAACCACAAGATCCCCATTATAAGACCCATGAGATACCCGAGGTATAGCATTTGTCATTAGAACTTCCAATCTTGGAATTCTTGTAACTTCGGCATCATCGGTCGGATTGGGGCGATCTTGGGGTCGTTGGAATGCTCACGCTTTCTCCTGCATTTTCCATGCATTCAATTTTGGGGGAAAATCAGGATGATGAGAATATCCAAGATGGCGAGCAATGTGATATATGCTCATGCACACATGCATGCACGAATGAGACGATCATACGGCAGGACATTAGGATGATATGCACTCATGATGATGTGCCATTAACAAACTCCCCTTCAGACTAATGGAATGCACACACATGCATGTGGAAATGATCTTTCATCCAACCAGGCCCATGCCATCACATTCATGCATTGGAACATCTAGTGCAATGCCATTCCACACATCTTAGCACACTTCCAGTGTGCATCTTCAGGAAGACGCTTCGTTAGGAAATCGGCCGACTGCTTGCTTGCCTTCACATGGTGAAGTTCCACAACCCCTTCCTTCACCATCTGCCGCACCCTGTGCCACTTGATTTTCATGTGCTTATTGAGGCCATTCAGGATCGGATTAGTGGCCATCCCAATAGCACCCTTGCTGTCAGTGAATAGTGGCGTAGGGCCATCCTGCTTCTCGCCAATATCTTCCAACAGCTTCCGCAGGGACACGATCTCCTTAATTCTATGGTACAAAGCCATATATTCTGCCTCTGCTGAAGACTGAGCGATCTCACTTTGTTTCTTTGACCTCCAGCTTACTGGACCTCCTCCAATCATGCAAACAAAACCTCCAATGGATGAGCAGTCTTCATCCTTCGAGGCCCATGTTGCATCGGTAAAGCATGTAAGCTTCAAAGATCCGGGCTTCACCCCTTCAGCTCCAGGTTGCTTCAGTTGTCCAGCCATAGAAAACTGAACTCCAGCAGATGTTGTAGATCCAAGGTAGCGTACCATTCTCCTTGCAACCTCCAAGTGTTCAGCAGTGGGTTGTTGCACAACCCTTGCAAGCTGACCCACTCCAAAAGAAGCATCGAGTCTTGTCTGCACTGCTGCATACATGACACTCCCGATCAGAGAATGGTACTCCTTCATCTCCTTCTCCTCAAGTACCACATCGTCTTCAGTGGCCTTCCTCAGCCTGAAGTCTGCAGGGAGAGGTGTCCTCACAGTACGACCCTCAAGAATGCCATACCGCTGCACCACTCCAGAGATGTACTTGTGCTGGTGCATCTTCAGCCACCTCTTTTCCACATCCCTCTCAATCTGCAGCCCCAAGTAGTAATGCACATCCCCAAGCATCTTGCACTTGAAGCTGTCCATCAACAGCTTTTGGGTCCTCTCAATCTGCTCCATGGATGGGGAGAACAGCAAGATGTCATCTACATAGATAAGCAAGCACAACTGCTGCTCCCCCTCACCAAGCAGAAACAAGCTGTGGTCAGCTTGAGAGGTGTTGAAGCCTCCAGCAAGGAGCACTTCTGCTAGCTTCTCATACCAGCACCTTGGAGCTTGCTTAAGTCCATAGATTGCCTTCTTAGGCTTGCACACTCTGCCAGTCCCATCTTCATATCCAACTGGCTGCTCCATATATATGTCTTCCACCACCACCCCATTCAGGAATGCAGTGATGATATCCATCTGCTTCACACTCCAACCTTTCACAGCAGCAATGGCCAGCAAGGTCTTCAAGGTTCCTGTTTTAGCAACAGGTGCAAACACTTCCTTGTAATCCTCCTTCTCCTTCTGCTCAAACCCTTTGGCAACCAAACGGCTCTTGTACCACTCCACTTCACCATCAGCTCTGGTCTTAGTCCTAAAGACCCACTTATTGCCGATGGCTCGTCGCCCCTTTGGTAGATTCACAAGATCCCATGTCTCATTCTCAATGAGACTGTTGAACTCCTCATCAGTTGAAGGCTTCCATTTTGCCTTCAGAGGGCCAGTCCATGCCTCATGTAGTGTGGCTGGATCACTAGGTAGAGTGGTGAAGAAACAGAAACCACTCTCCTCATCATCACTCTCATCCGCCTGAACCACCATCACACCTTGCTTAGGTCCTCCCAAGCGGCTATACCCTAGCCTTGAAGGTGGCGCTGCTGCCCTCTTCTCACGAGTTGTACTCTGCTGCATTTGCGTTGACGCGCCTCGCTGTGCACTCCTCTTAGTGACCCTAGCTGGTGGAGCAGTCATAGGCACTGATGGTGAGTCCACACGCGTTGACTCATCCTCGAGCCCCTCCTCAGGCTCATCTCCAACAGTGGGCTGCTCGACACCACCACTGTGGTCACTGGTCAGCTCTGACCCAGGGCGATCATCAAGGTGCGGCTGAACCTCCTCCACAGCTGACCTCTGGAGCCCTTGCAGCCGCAGTCCAATCTGAACTTGTTGTTGCTGCTGCCAGTCGTTGTACATCACATTTTCCACAAACTTGATGTCGCGGCTCACAATGGTCTTCTTACTCCTCGGGTCCCACATCAGCCACCCTTTGGAGTCGGGGGCCATCCCAAGATGGACGGCCCACATTGCAGCAACCTCAAGCTTGTGCCTTTGCTCCTTTGGCACCATCACAAGCCCCATGCTGCCCCACACCCGCAGCATATCTACAAGCGGCTTCTTCCCAAGCCAACGCTCATAGGGCACCCAATGCTGCTCGCCAACATGCGTCAAGACTCTGTTTTTGACGGTCACCACTTGGCGAACAGCTTCAGGCCAGAACTTGTAGGGAAGTCCAGCATCCCTCAACAATGCCTTGGCCGCCTCGCCAATGGTTCTGTTGTCTCGTTCAGCAATGCCATTTTGCTGTGGTGTTCCAGGGCAGGTCAGTTGGTGTCGAATGCCGTTCTTCTTGAGCCAAGCAGTGAAATCTGCTCCTAGGAACTCACCACCACGATCACTCCTCAGCACCTTCACCAACCGTTGAGACTGCCTTTCAACCATTGGCAACCAATCCTCCTTGATTGCCGCTGCCGCATCACTCTTCTTTGACAAAGGTCGCGCCCATGTAAATCTGCTCCAGTCATCCACCAGAGTTAGGAAATACAAGGCTCCACCAATGCCCTCAGTCCGCATCGGACCCACCAGATCCATATGCACCACTTCCAATGGTGCCTTGGCAGAACCATCCACTCTATGAAAGGGAAAACGTGCAAATTTACTTTGCATGCACACCTCGCAGTCACGAGAATCAGCATTGCCTCCATGCAGACGAAGCCCTTGCACACTCTGCTCTCTCGCCATCACCTCCAATGTAGAAACAGCCACATGTGCAAGACGTCTATGCCATGTCTCCCAAGAGGCTTGTCCAGAGGTTGCCGATGCCTTGACAGCCGCACTTGCTCCAGCCACCACAATCAGCCCCTCATCACACTCCTCATGATCTTCATCATCCATGGCTCCTTCAACTGCTGCTGCTGCTGCTGGCTCATTCCCTTTAGGCCATGGGAGCACGGGAATCTGCCACATGCGCCGGTGGACTCCCCCATTACGCTGCAGGTCCCAAATGAGTTGGCTCTCCTTATAAGCACGATAGCGCTCTGAGCCGATGGTTTCAGTGTTCACGCCCGCATCTCCCAAACGGCCGGTAGAAATCAGATTCGCGCACAAATCTGGTACCCAAAGCACCTCCTTCAAGCCCACCAACTTGCCATCCGCACCCACAAACATGGCACGCCCCATGCCCATCACTTTGGCCTTGGCTCCTGTAGCAGATGTGACAGTAGCGATTGGTGCTGGCTGAATCTCATCAAGCAGGTCCACATGAGGCGTCATGTGCCAGGAGCTTCCAGAATCAATGACCCAATGAGATAGCGGATGTAGAAGAACCTTGGCAGCCATTGCTGGATCCGCAGCACCCTCGTTCACAAAGAAGAAGAAACCGGGCCGCCGCTCACCCACTTTGCCGCCTTTCTCCTCCTCATCCTCCTCTCCACCAGCTCCCATAACTCCCCCACTCCTTTTGCCTCCTTGCTGATTGGTCCATGAAGGTGGGGTCCAGTCCTTAGGCCGTTGATAGCACTTTCTCCAGCGATGACCGCGCTTCTTGCAATAGAAGCATACATCTCCTTGGCTCCTGTCTTGACCTCCAGTACTCTCCTCCTGAGAGTTGTCATTCTTCTTGCCCTTTCACTTCTTCTTAAAGCCACTCCTCCCTCCTCCAACTCCATAACCAGCAGCATCCCCCGAGCGATCCACACTCTGTCGCCGTAGATCTTCCTCCAAGATCCGTGCGCGAATGTACTCCAAGCTCCACTGGGATTGCTGAGAGTTGAGGTTGATAGCAAGAGCAGACCAAGACTCCGGCAATCTGATGACAATCTCCACACACTGCACGAGCTCAGGGTAGACCAATCCTCCCGCTTGCAATTTGGAGAAGATATCCCGCAGCTCATCCAAAACCGGTTGCAGTGGCTCTCCATCCACGAATTTGATGTCGCGCAATCGACGCGCCAATAGCACAATGCCGCTCGCGTGAGTTGGTGAGTGGATATCTTGCAGCTTCTTCCATGCCTTTGGTCCACACTCAGGATCTCCAAGCAGCTCCTTGATGTGATCCAGCTGGCGCCCTCCAACCGCTTGCACCAAGAGCATGTACGTGTCGAACGAGCGTTTTATCCATGAGCCACGGTCATCCGCGTTCTCCGGCATCTTCTCCCTTCCCTCCACGAGCTCTAGCAGATGATAATGTGTAATCATGAGACGCATTCGAAAGCTCCAGTGCTCAAATACCTCCCCTATGAACTTCTCAATTGAGAAAGCCTTCATAGGATCCACGGTAGGGTTGGATGGTGGAGATGGAGTAGATAACGTGGGTAGTGGAGGCTGTTGAGCTTCTCCCCTCGGTTGTGAAGCTCCAGCACCGTCACCAGCAGCTCCCCCTTGCTCCCTATCTCTAACTCTACGTGCCATTTCGCCTTCAGCACATACATTGCCTCTATTCGGCATCTGCTAGCTCTAGGAATGAAGAAATCGTAACAAACCGAATCTGACAGAATTCTGGCAGAATTTTCAGCTTTACAAGAAACGCTGCCACAAACACACGCCTTTGCATAAAGACCTGCGAATAGGCTCGTTGGAAAGCTCGCAACCTCAGCTACTCGAAAAAGGTCTTACTCGTAGACATTGGTTGAGAAATGACCATGATTCGTCATCGCAAAGATAGGTACTGGCTCTGATACCACTTGTTGATAGAATCGGCCTACTTTGCACGAATTAAGCAGAACCTCAACTCAACCAAACGCCAATCTGCTCGGTGGACGGACGCGCCTATAAGTCTAGAGTCATCTGAAATTTAAATCAGGTGAAAAGATTAACTCTAGAGTGAGAACTGAATCAAAACGTAACTGCTGGTCGTTGCCTTGGAAAAGTAGATAGAACTTGCAAGACACACAACCATATAGACATGGTTCGGGGTTCAGACCTATAAGAGGGCCCTGGAAGGGAAACAAGGTTTCCTGATTTCTAGGAATGGTTTAGAACCTTCCTAGAAGCACACCATAGGCCCCTCTCCAAGTTTCCCATGTGAGAACACATGCCAAATCCAAAGAGATTGGATTTGGCAAGATGTTGCAACATTTGCAACACTTGCACATTTTGGCTTGTAGCAACCAAGCCACCCCAACCAAAAGTCAAAGTTTTCTCCCCAACCATCTAACCACAAGATCCCCATTATAAGACCCATGAGATACCCGAGGTATAGCATTTGTCATTAGAACTTCCAATCTTGGAATTCTTGTAACTTCGGCATCATCGGTCGGATTGGGGCGATCTTGGGGTCGTTGGAATGCTCACGCTTTCTCCTGCATTTTCCATGCATTCAATTTTGGGGGAAAATCAGGATGATGAGAATATCCAAGATGGCGAGCAATGTGATATATGCTCATGCACACATGCATGCACGAATGAGACGATCATACGGCAGGACATTAGGATGATATGCACTCATGATGATGTGCAATTAACAGATGCGCGCGGTATAGTGGTAGCTCACTGGGAAGAATGTCCTAGAACTCCTATAATACATTAATTCTTTTAATACATTAAGAATGTTTTGTGGAGGTTCCGAGGCTTTCTTTCCGTCATCTTCTATATCATTTTCTATTGCGTCGGTTCGTTTCACGTCCTTCTTAAATCTGGCGAGTGTCTCCACTGGGATATCCCTTTTGCCGTCCCAGTTTGGTAGTTGGACTCTCCTTCCGTTGTTGTAGATGCTTGCTGTGCGGTTGACCCAGTTGATCTCGGGGTTGAAATTTTTAAGGAAGTCTCGCACGAGATCAAGTCAAGCCCTTTTATAATGATGATGGGAAGGGCATGTCTCTAGCGAAGTGGTCCAATTTGTAGAGGTACATGTAACACTGCTTCGTTGTAGACTGGTAACATGCTGCCGTCCACCATCATTGCAGAGAATGCCAAAGGCTTGTATTTCTCCCAAAGCCAGTCGATTGCTACCTTGTCGCATATGGTGTGTGATGCTCAACAATCCACAAGTGCTTGGAGGTGTCCCCCTTTGCAGATGACCTCGAGCACGAGGGGCAAGCGTTGCTCAAAGTATCTGAAGAAAGTATCTTTTGTATGATCATTGGGTACATTCCAATATTATGTACACACCTTTTCATTGTTATGTACTCCTGAGCTGGCAGCTGGCCGTGGCTGCTTGGAGAAAGGCTCTTCTTCAGGACCAGGAGTTTCTTTGAGGATCGTACGTATCATCGATGTCATGGAGTTGGATGCATCTGAAGGAGGAGTTCGGGGCTCTTGCAGCTTCTTGTAGACCACCAGCTCACTCTTAAATTGCGTGAGCTCCACTATCATCTTCCCTATGGAACCGGTAGTTGTTGTGGGCTAGTGACGGGAGAGGACATTGACTCCGTGGAATTTCTCCAAGGTTTTTTGTACCATTATGATCTCCATAAATTTCTAAATATTTTGTTGTCCTTCTCAAAATTTCTCCCAAGGCTCTGGCCCCTCGAGAATCATAAGTTTCCATAAGATAGCTTGAATGAATCCTTATAATTTCTTGGGTCTTCCATGAGTTTCCCTGTCGGATTTTTCGTGGGCAGCCTTTTTTTACGAAGTTGAGTTTTTTATTAGCGATTATCGCTGGAGGAGACAGGTCAGGGGTGAAGATTCTTTCCCATCATTTGCTCCTGCTCGCGTCGAATCAGATTCCTTGAAGTTGATTTACTTGGGATGTCTTCTTTTTGGCCAGCTAGATCCGCACTTAATGGCGACTCCCGTTTTTGTCTTCTGATTGCCTTAAGAGTTTCTGCCACTATTGCGTGCTCAATGCTTCACGAGTGCAGCCTTCATTATGTTGCAGGCAAAGATTCGATGGTCCAGCACTCTGCAAAAAATGCACGTGAAACTGCATTTTTTGGATGTGGTTGCCCGTCGAACCTGTCGATCTCCATCGGGTCGGCGAACGTGAGTGAAGCCAATCAGCCTTGCTGTTGCGTACTGCTGATGAGCAACACCGTCGTATTTCGGCGTTGTCCACTGTAGCTTGCGTAATTCGTCGCTGCCACCTGCCGTTCTACTTCGGTCTTCAGCCCGGCGAGGTACGATTGCACTGTTTTTCTGCAGAGTTTTCTGCTATAACGAGAGCTACTACGGGAAGTGCTTGGCGCAAATTTTGGATCTGCACTAACTCTACTGTCCTCCAAGGAGAAGTTTGCCTCCAGATTGTGTGTCTATTCTCAATGAACCATGCAAGAATGTTCTCTGCCAAACGTTGTTTGAACAATGTTCTGGTGCACTCTGCCAAGTCAGCACCGGGCAACAGAGTGTTCTCTACCACCACTTGGAAGCACTCTGCCAACTCAGCATCGGCAGGTGCAAACTACAAGTAGCAACGGCTGGTGAAATGCCAAGTCAGCATTGGCAGGTGTTCACCAACCAATACAGTTGTACCTGACAGTTCAGGGACTTAACTGTCTCCTGTTCTGCACATGTCCCCAGTTACAACCATGTGCACCCGGTTAATCTCGCAGATAGGTTCAGTTTCACCGAGATAGGTTCGGGAGTTTTTATTTCTCTGCCGCAAAGAGAATCATACCCTTCTACGAAGTCGCATCGTGATGAGTAGAACCCACGCCTTCTGCCAAGACTCTACCGGGACTCGCGCGTCCAGACTCTGCCACCTTGCATGCCCTAACTTTGTCGAGCATGAGAAATTCATCTTCTACCGTTGTACACTTCTTTCCGTAAGTTTACTCTGCCGACACTTCAATGAATCCGCTCTCTGCTGATGATGCTTTCTGCAAAGTCTCGCCTTTTCACCGAATCTCTCTGCCAACCGAGTTTGTCAGCGTTGATAGAGTCTATCAATGTGCCCGTTCTGCGGACTTTGCCGCCTCTTCCGTCGACAGGCCTCTCTTCCAAAGCTGGCATCGGCAGAGTTTGTAAACTCTACCCATGTGCCACTTCTAAAGACTTTGCAGCCTTCGCAAGATCAGGGTCATTCTCAACACTCCCCTGCATTAGTTATGCGAAATCACCTTCAAGCAGCGAACCAATCTCTATGACACACGAAATCAGAAAAGAAAACACACAAAACAAACACACACGAAAGTGCGAGAATCTCCACTTCTTTGCATTCTTGAATCACCGTAGCCGACATAAAAGAGGTCATGGCACCTATTTCTCATCAGAAGAAAGTTCGTCTTCTACACTTCCCTTTGTAGACAATCGCACATGACCCTCTCCGCCGAAGGAAAGTGCAACGCCTTGGTCAAGTAATCTGTCGGTTGCTCGTTCGTCGGAATGTAGTGCAGTTTCAGCTTGCGACACTCAGCCATGTGCTACAACCACGTGTATCGTCACTCCATGTGCTTGAGGCTCCCCTTAAGCCCCATCCCCTGAGACACATCAATTGCAGATTGATTGTTGACGTAGAGCATGGTGGGTTCGTCTTCGTCGAGAAGACCAAACTCTGCCAAGTAGCGCAGCTTGCGAGCTTCTTTGCCAACCTCCACACCAAATATGTACTCAGATTCCATGGACAAGAGGGTGACACGCTTGATTCTCTTGCTTGTCCACGATATTGCTGCTCCACCAAGTGTAACAATATAGCCACTTCTGCTGTTGCGACTTTGCCTATCACTACCGAGCTCTGTGAAACCAACGAGGCGCAGATCTCTGCTGCCTCTACCGAGCTCGTAAGCCACATCGCGCGCCCCAATGAGGTACGCAATGCAACAATTGAGCTCCTTCCAGTGCTGATCACTTCGAATAGTCTGCCCTGATGCGGGCTTGCTATAGGCAAAAGCGATGTTCGGACATGTCGTGCAGGCAGCGAACTGCAGAGATCCCATTCTCTACCGATACTCTTCTTCGGTGCGCGCTTGCATCTCTGCATCATCGAACGTGGATCTCCTTGAATGCATCGACAGCAATCGGCGTTTTCGGGCTTCGTCAAGTTGGCCCCTGTGGCTGAAAACCCCTCTGCAGCTTGTCAATGTAGCAACGTTGGTGCACTCAAATCTTCCGAGCAGCTCTTTCCCTGATCAGCTCCATCCCCAGGTACTTCTGCACAGGGCTAATCTCTCAAAATAAAATGCATTTTTGAGTAGAATCTTCAATACTGCCAAATGAGCCTTGCTCCAACTTGCAACTAGCAGATTGTCGACGTAGACAAGCAAGTAGCACTTGTCGTCATGCTTATCTGCATGGAAGTACAGTAGAAGGCTTCGTCGACGTGACTCTTCGACCAGCCTCCGCTCTGCAAAACACCGTCACGTTGGGGAATGAGCGGTTGGGAAGTGAGCTTGGCGGAATTGAGCTGAGTGGAACTGAGCTTGGGGGAAGTGAGCCGGGGGGGAGTGAGCTTTGGGGAAGTGATTTGGGAGAAGTGAGCTTGGGGGAAGTTAGCTTGGGGGAAGTGAGCTTGGGGGAAGTGAGCTGGGGGGAAGTGAGTTGTGAATGTGAGCTTGGGGGAAGTGAGCTTCGGGAATGAGTGGTGGGGAAGTGAGTTTAATGGAAGTAAGCTGAGAGGAAGTGAGCTTGGGGGAAGTGAGCCAGGGGGAAATGAGCTTATGAGAAGGGAGCTGGGGGGAAGTGAGCTTGGGGGAAGTGAGCTTGAGGGAAGTGAGATTCGAAAGTGAGCTGGGGGGAAGTGAGCTTGGAGGAAGTGTGCCGGGGGGATGTCAGCTTGGGGGAAGTGAGCAGGGGGGGA